AGAAATGAATGCTACCTTGGAATTTTCTTCCGCCTCCTGCCTTAGAATCTTGGACTCTTCAACCACGGCCACCATAATGGCTTCTTGTTCAGCAAGAGCATTACGAGCAGATTCTTCTTTTTCCAGCTTTTCCTGCTCTGCTGCTCTCGTCAACTCCTGTGCAGCAAATTGTCGAGCTTTGAGGGTTCGACGCATCTGTCGATAAATGTATACAGTTATTAAATGAGCATACAGCAAACTCAAATTCTTTCACATCAAAATCATGTTCTTGTTAAGTACACCTTAAAAATCCATGGATTATCTAGCACAAGACACTAATCAACTTATTCAGACATGATTATGTTTCAACTTTCAAGAAATGGCTTATTATCTCACAATTAAGACACTCAAATATTGGTTTATGACAAAAACTGATAAGTGTTTTCTGTAAAAAGTTTCAACGTCTCCATATTCCCACCACAAGAATAAAAATATCAATCAATCAAGATCAGGACAATTGATGTTATACAGATAACTAGATAGACAAATGATCCATATCATAGCATATAACATGAAGAGAAGATTTTATACTAATTATCTACCAGATGACAGATCAATTTGTTCCAAGATTACCTCATCAAGAATGGAAAGAGATTTATCTCTTTCATCTGATAAGCTGAGTAATCGATTTTCAAGCTCCTTTACTTCAGTGATTAGGATTGCCTTCTCCCCGTATACTTCTCCAGCATGCTGCAAAACATAAACAAATGGCTTGACTTTTCATACTAATTAAAGAATCACTAAAATGCGTTCTACTATTATTGGTAACCAAAAGATCCAGTCATTAACAAGTGCACAACCATGTCATTTGCTTCCTTTGCATGTGGCAGCATCTGTTTAAGTTCCTCCACCTTGAGGAGAATTTCCATACCCCCCCTTGCAGCTTCCTCTTTTGCTTCTTCTGCAGATGCCTCTTGGAGTTCAACTTCTTTCATCAAGTTCATAATGGACTCCATGGTCTGAAACAAAATTTTCTACACCAAATTTTGATAAGTTTAGAGCTCATCCTCCATAAATTAGAAAAAAAGAAACAATTAAATACTTTTCATATTAAAATGCTTCTTATATGAGCAAAAACATCAGAACCACAAGAACCACAAACTAAGTTAATTAATCATGCAAAATTTGAATGATAACAGACTAAGCAATAGAATTGCTAATATTGCATAGGATTCATTCTCATACCCAGACAGCCTCCAAAATTGACAAAAGAAAGTAAAAAGCTTGAAGCAAAAAGTACCTTGTTACTTTTAGCATCTTCAATGATCTCTTCAAGTATATTGATTCTGCATGTTTGACTAGATCTACTAACAGGAGGATTGAAGGTATCATCCTCAATATCACTCATTTCACCAAAGCAGTCATGCTGGGATTTAAAGTCTACAGAACCTTTTTCTTGTTTCTCATAATGAATAGAGTCAAACTCAGAACCACTTTTGAAATGCTGATCAGTCCTCAGTCTTTCTGGCAATTGTTCTGGAGAATATGATGGAACCACCAGACCAACAGAATTCTCTTCACCTACCATGGTTCCATTTAATGATCTGTTTCTGCACAAATCTCCATTCAAATTCACAGGCCCATCAAATTTTATCTTATCATTGGAGCTGCCTCTACTACCAGCATTCTCCAAAAGCAAGGTTGAATCATTAGCCGAGGTGAAGTGTGAAACCTGTGGAGTCCTGGGAAATGCATCTTCAATGTCTGTGGTTCGGTCTTGACTTGAAGAACCCGACTCCTTGGTTTCAAGATTTGCATATAGCAGAGAATTATCGACCTTTGATGCATCTACGCTTAAACTAGATTTATCTTTCTGAATTTCAGTATTCCCCAACAAAATCAATTCCTCGGTTTCAACATTAGCAGCCTCAATATTATTGTTCTCATGAAATTTTGAACCAGCTGCCACATTTGGTGCTTCAAGAGGATCCACATTGCTGGCAGCATTGGTAAGACAAGTTTCTCTGACAACTTCACTTGTTTCCAGCAATGGTTCTGTAGAAGAGCATGCTCTTTTTCCAACCAATACCTTTCGCCTCGTCAACTGATTACTTTCTTTCTCATCTGCAGCTGCATTTTCAAAAATCCATTTATGATACTAAACAGGTCAATAGATCAAGGAATAAAAGCCAATATGCATCTAATAGACAAGCATATATGAAGTGGCATTTATCCTCTAATCTAAAATATAGACCAGACAAAGATAAATAACTAAATCATTCACAAAATTTCATGATTTTGGAAAAACCAAGAACATAAGCAGCCTGAACATGGTGCAGAATAAACCAAGTCCACTACTAAATCATGAAAAAAACTACCTTCATTTGGTTGCACAGGAGGACTCTGGTTCTGTGAGGAAGAACTGGCAACCGTAGTTTTTTTAGGAAGGTTAGGTATAATCTCAGACAGAACAATCTCAGCCGCTGCATCAACATCCTTAGAGTTCTCAATAGCAACAGCTTTTAGAATACGAGAATCAACCTGTGCAGAAGGTGTAAGAAAGCTATTTTTCAATGGATATCGGTTATATTTTTGGAATATAGAGTTACAATTTAGCAAATTATAAAGAACATTTAAAGCTGAACCAGCAAATTGAACTTTAACTTTAAAAGGGGGACATTTTTGTATCCCCCGAATGAACAAAAAAAAAGGATTAAAAATAAGTAAAAAGAAATACCTGCGGAAATATATCCTGCAAACATTGATAAACCTTATCGAATCCCATTCCGGAAAGCTATTAACCTGCAAACAGAAAAAACCAGAAATTTTACACAATATGTGTAATCATCATCATTAACAATGAAGAAAATATTCTATACATAAATAGTAATTATAACCATGTAAAAAATAAATGTAAAGTATCAAAATGGCAACGAAAATTGAAGAAAAAAACAAACGAATATTTACTTACATGCAAAAATAACCATCAATTGACAATTTTTTTTAATACCCAATGAAAAAAAAATCTTAAGAATTAAAACAAAATTAATAGGAAGATAGCATCATAGAATTAGATAAACATAAAACAAAAAAAATCCTAATGCTCAGTGTGGTGATAGAAGGACAGCGTAAGCCAACATTTTTTATAAAAAAATCTTAATTTTTTCTAAAGGATAATAACAAGAAAAACAGAATTAAAATCGGAAACGATTTCTAACATGGAAGAAAGGAAAAACGAATGATGAAACAATGAATCAGTTCGGCGGCATAGAAAACAATATACGTACAATCAGATAAAGATTGAGAATTTAACCATTGAGAAGGCAAAATCAAAAGAAGATAAAAATCATCAAAAATGGAGGGGAAAACAGACCTTTATTGAGCGCGAACGAGAGGGGGAGAAAGTGAAAAGGTGAGATTGATGCGTCAGTATTTATTTTTCTAAATTTTAATTTCTGTTTTCTAATTTATTTTTGGCTATCGTTATTCACAATATATATATATATATAGTCTAGTGGAAGCTGGAAAGGCAAGGAGAACTACGCAGATAAGGAAGGGGATCCACTGTGATTAAGGGTTCTGTTTGAGGGTGTTTTCGTCTAATAATTCATATATAAAGAGTCTGGGTCGTTATGATTAGAGACATTCATTTTTTAAGGGGGGTTGTCTTTGTCAAAGGAACCTTCCTTGTAGAGTACAAAAATAATTACTTATAAAAAATAATTAATAGAATGTAATAAATATAAGGGTAAACTTAATATGCAGTCATCAAACTATTTAAACAGTTTCTTTTTGATCACATAACTCTTTTTTTTAAATCACACCTAATAACACGTTTTGATTTCTTTTTGATCATGTGCCATTAAAAAATTAATAGAATTGCTAATGTGTTTTTTCTTATGAAAATACGTGTCTTTGACACGCATCACGTAAATTTGTTTTTATATATATATTTTTCATATTTTGACCCTTTTTATTTTCTAAATTTTTTTTACCTTTTGTTCCTTTCATTTTAATTTAAAATACGACTAAATTCTTATAATCGTACTACTACGTAAGTAAAAAAATACGACATACAGAACGTTCTTTCAAAAGCGTGCCTATATAAAATATATCAATTTAAAAAATAATCTGAAACAAATATTGATCTGAAAATATATGTGTTTATTGTCAAATATATCAAATTTTTAAAAATAATGAGAGTTGTTGCATATTTGTCGTCGGCATTATCAGTTCGCAAGAGATCATATACTACTCTCTTCTTGATGTTTGAGATTCAATATTTTATTGTTTATGATATTTTGATGCTATGCAAAGACAACAAATTTTGATTAGTTACCATTAAAAAAGGTTGGCTCTCTTCTAATAAAAAAAATTGAGACGAACATTTTTTAAAAAAATTCAGAAGAAAATAGAAAATAGAAAATAAAAGTTTAACGTGTCAATACATCTCCAGAAACTTCTCAATTTCATCTAAATCCAGAAAACATTCGAGTAACCTTTCAACTCAAAACTCGTTAGCTTCAAGTTTAATCCGTGGTTAATCCATAAGCCACTTGAACTGTTATTTTTCTTTTATGTCTGAATTGACAAAGGTAAAATATGCTAACCCATGTTTAATCTAAACAATTGTAAGAGCAATTACAGATCTATCATTTTTATTATCAGTAAATCTTTTAACTCTAATTTTATTCAAAGTGAAATCCGTAATAAATTCGAGAACTTATAAATAGGTTAACATTTCAATCTCTTCAAAGAAACTAGAAGAGAAACAAATATCAACAATTAACTACTAAATTTAAAAATTAAATGAGAAAATACATGTAAAAAAGTAATTGGTTGGAGCATAAAAAGGGAGCAGACGATTTTTGCCCACCTGCTTGTGGCTGACGATCATTCATTGAACCCTGGTACAATGAAAATCATGAAACGACAAAGAACCTTTCCTTTCCTCGAAGCTTGTCAATAAAGTCAGCCAGTCACCTATTTTCTTTTCCTCTTGAAGGTTTCAAACATGATTGCTTTCGTCTTCAACCTTGATTCATCTTCGTGGTAAACAAAAACTCTGTCCCAAGTTCATCAGATCATTTTATCCGAATAAAATGGCCAAAAAACTATATTTGTGGTTAAATACTTAAGTTTCCGATGGATTGAGTTTGAAAGTTTTGAAATCTTGAGCCGGTTGACGCGTTTACTGAGTCTGCTTTCAAGGGAAACCCAGCAGCAGTCTGTTTGTTGGATGAAGACAGAGATGAACAGTGGTTACAAGCTATGGCCGCTGAGTTCAATCTTTCCGAGACTGCTTACTTGACTAGGACTAATGGGTCGGATTCACAAACTCCCAGGTTTCGTCGTAGATGGTTCACTTCCGTTACTGAGGTCAGTTTTTCTTCTTGTCTAATTGAAGCTTGTTTTGTTTACCATCAAGACTCGAGATTTTGGCAGGTTAGGGGCTTTGTGGACATGCAACATTAGCATCTGCGTACACTCTCTTCACAACTGGGCTAGTAAATTCAGGCATTATTGAATTCGTAACGCTAGCCGGAATTCTTACTGCTAAAAGAGCTCCTGATTTCAAGTCACCAATCGATGCCTCCTCTCATATGGACGAGCCACAAAACTGCTTCTCAGTCGAGCTGGATTTTCCTATAGTCCTTGCACCGAACTTACTGACATTAAATGGTGCCGATATTATTGACATTAAGAGGGCAAAATCCAGATGATTACTTTCTTGTAATTGCTCTTTTTCTTTTTATTCCTCTTAGGGCTCTTCGTGTGGATATTATACCAACTTATTGCATTTGCAGGTTGTGCTCCCATCTGCAAAATCCGTCATGGAATTAAAGCCACAGATCGATGACATACGTAAATATGGTGCTGAAGGCGTAATTGTTTCAGGGGCTGCTCCTATGGAATTTGGGTTTGATTTTGCTAGCCGATGCATCTTCCCAAGAAATGGCATAGATGAGGTCCTTCATTCTCCCTTTCATATGTTTTATATATGTATATATGTTTGGATCTCATTGCCATGAATATATATCAGGATCCTGTGACTGGGAGTGCAAGGAGCAAAAAGCTTGGGAAATGTGATCTCATGGCGTATCAAGTACCATATTAACCCTGCTTTACACTATCGTAATTGAAATCCAAGTATGATAAGCATACATTGTTGGCTTTCCTTGCATTGAATTGATTGTGGGCGTATAGGCATCAGCTAGAGGTGGAATACTAAGCGTTTATTTAGATGAGAAGAATCAGCGAGTGCTACTGCGAGGAAAAGCTGTCATAGCCATGGAAGGCACTCTTCTTGTTTAGCTTTATAATTTATCCATTTATTAATTATACTGAATTTATAATTTTGGGCTCGGGTAAGAGGACCCCTAAATAAGTACCCATCTTGCCCAGAATAAAAAAATTAGTTGATCTTATTTTCATATGTAATGGGATAAGTGGAGGTAAAGTAATAGGTTGTCTCCAACGTTAGGTTGAGGGCAACTTCTGTGAAAGACCTCCGGCAATTATGAATTACCACCGTGAGACTCGATCCCACGACCACAAGGTTAAAAGCCTTGCTTGCGCTCTACCAACTGAGCTGTACTACCCTAAATAAGTGCCGCCGACATTCCCACTATAGTTTGTGACTTTATTTCTGGTTTATGTATAACTTTATAACAATAAAATCCGTATTAAGCGATGATGTTTTTGGAATAATTGCCTCGATTTTTAAATTTTTATAAACATTTATACATGAATAATTGATAAATTAGTGAAGCACCGGTAAAACGTAAAGCTTTTTTAAGCTAAAAAAGATAAAAATAAAAAGATTAATGAATTATCTCATATTTAAAATCAAATTACATGTTTATCTCAATTCGTTAGATAATTTTAAACAGGACATAATTCAATATCTTTTTAGTTTTATCCTTAAAAAACAAAAACATAATTGATGGAAAAAAACTGCAAATTATCCTTCTGAAGCGAAGTTGAAGTTAGAGCACGTGGTACCCTTTAGGAGAACAGAGGAAGTGAAGCCTAATCTGGTGTTGTCGATATCAAACTGTAGCAAATTATCCCCCATCTGATGTCCGCCAATCACCACCGGTGTTCTTGGGTTTACCCCACCATCCACGAATCCTAAGCACCAAACATCCCCGGTACCATCTCCCGCGATCCACACCATTGAATTCGATCCAAACACCCTCCAAAACACATCCTCGCTTTCCATCACGAAATCGACGGTCGGGACGCCCGGTCCCACGCGCGTTACGATGATATCAGCCGCCGGATAACACACGCTGAACGATTTCTTTGCATTGGTTACCGTGAGGTTCAACGTCGACGATTCGTTCACGAACGCCCCGGTTATAGCATTGTAGATAGATGTTTCCAAAACAGTATAGGGCGCCGCCGTGCTTAGTTTTGTCCCGCCGAATCCGTTCTCATTGACAGTTAATAACGAGGAATTGATCTGAATTGGTTTTCCATTGACGTTGATGGCAGTCACGTTGATGTAATACTCATCGGACGGTTCTCCGGCGTAGGGTACAACGGTGCTCCCGACGGGGTTCAAGACGAGGGGAGTGTAAACGAGTGATTTTGAGAGGTCGATCTTTTGAGGGGAGAAATAGTAAGGCCCCACGGACCCGATGAGAGCCACGCCAAGACCCGACGTGGACCGGGGAAGACACAGCGCAAAACAACGAGGCACAGAGAAGGTGTTGCTAAGCTGCGCCGGGAGCGAATAATTCGACCTCCCGAACGCCGCCAGTCCAGTCACGTTGTTAGCTAGGCCCTCGAGAAGTGAAGTGGGAGAGCAACAGAAAATGTAACTCGGAAGGAGGATCGGTGGGCCTTGAGTCGATCCGTCTGAGGTGGGCAACGCGAGGGAGTCGGTTAAGGCGAGGGAGAAGGCAGTTTTTCGGGTGACGGAGTTTTCGGGGAAAAGGGAGCAGGTGCTGTTAGCGCAGGAGGGGCTTGGAGTGTTGAAACAGATGGAGCAGGTGAGATTGTGACCGAGGGAATCGCATAGAGGGGTTAAGCAGGGAATGTGTTGGTAAGTGGAGGAATTATAGCTGGAGTCGCAGGCCACCCAAGTGAAGGAGGCGCCGAGGTCGAGGTGGAGGCGCGTGGGTTGGAGTGGGGTTTTGAGGAAAAGAGTGAGGGAGTAGAGGAGGGTGGAATTGTCTTTTTGAATTGGTGATACAAATGAAATGGCGTGAGCTGAAGGAGGAATGGAGAAGGAAGACAGTATAAATATGAAAACGAAGATGGAATGGAGGTGCATGGTTTTGGTTGGATGGGTGACGAGAGAATATTAGCAATGGTGGAGTGAGTGAGCCGAATCGGAAAGTATCAGTGGGTTTTGAACAAAGAGAAAAACTCAAGGAACCGACAAGACTGCGAGAGTGATGAGGACACAGGAGACAATGACACGTGTGGACTCCTTAAATGTAAATAATCAATTATTTCATATACTGATGCGGTTCGGTCCTTCGGTGCGGGGTTGCTGCTTGTGGGGCAATCCTACTACTTCACAAGAGTCAAGATGTGCCATCTTTTCACTTTTAAAAAGTAAATAAATTATTTTTAAACTTTCGTTTGCTCGTGTGGGGTTCTATGATCAATCTATTCACCTTCTCTTATTATTCAAGTTCAACTCGGGTTTTGGTTGAAATATATGTTAGGAAATTTTATATAATGTTTATAAATTTTAATTACGGTTAATTAATTAACAATATTAAATATTATAGAACAAATTTATAATGTATATGCACAAATAAAGTTATTTTAGTTATTAAAGAAATAGTTGTTATTTATTTATTTTTAGAAATTTTAGGTTCAATTACTAGAAATCTTATGTTCAAGCACTAGAAATTTTAAAGTATTTAAGCGTTCATTGTTATATAATTGAAAGCCTCTATAATATATATTATCATTTGTAAACACCCTAAATTAATTAAAAAAAAGTATGATTTATATTTTTTATTTTATAATTAATAATCATTTTATATAATTAAACTATTAAATAATTTAAATTTCAACTTTTCTAGTTTATGGTGAACCAAGCTTACAAAATGATATAAAAATTATGAGAATTTTAAAAATCACCTTACATAGATTTGAACTACCTATATCTCTTTTAAAATTAGTTATTGTTGATGGAAATAAATGTATTATGATAATTATAAATGGTTCGTTCTTTTATATTTAAGTAGAGAAACGCAGTCGATAATTAGAAACAGTCGTTGGTTGGTATCAAAATTCTTTATCTTCATAAGAAGGTAGAAGATAAATTAATAAATAAAGATGTTTCAAATCCTTCTCTCAATCTTGATCGAAAAGTTTTATAGTGACTCTTAGTATTGATGTCAGACGTAAAGTCGTTATGACTACTCGTAATTTGACATGCTCAATGGATATGGTCGTTTGATAATAGATTTAACTCTAGCATATCACGTAATCTTATCGGATGTCATATCAAAAGGTCGTAGTTTTTCAAAGGGTTAGACGTTTGAGGTCTTTCCTTGGAATATTTTTTTGGAGGCCCTGAGAAGCAAAAATGACGTGCATAGATCAATCTTACAAAGGAGATTGAAGTAGCGTACAACATATACCACTTCTTAATTGAGGGAATGTCATATAATAACTTGATCCAAGATCTATATGTCGAAGTATTATTTAGCATTTAATAAGTCGTTTTTTTGGGAAAACATAGGAATGATTGTGTTTTTTTAATGGCTCACAGGTTTAAATGCGCATACACATATTATATTAAGATTTAAATTTTATCTTTATCAAATGATCTAATTGTATTTTATATTTAATTTTGAAAAAAAGAATATTTTTAATTTAAATTAAACAATTAAATTTTTAATATTTAAAATTTCAGTGCTTTTATAGTTATTTTTTGAGTTAATTGCATCATACGTTTTCACACTATGATCCTCTTTCTAAATTGACCCCTAAACTTCTAAATGTTCCAATTTATTCATAAACTATGACTATCATTCTAAATTTATCCTCAAACTTTTGAACATTTCAATTTCATCCATAAACTATATCATTCATTCTAAATTGGTCTTCAAACTTTTTTCAGCATTTCAATTTCAACCCAAATTATATGTATATGCTAATCACATTCCATGTTAATAAAATCATTAGCTATATTATTATATGTTTGAAAAAATAAAGTTTGGGTTAAACTATGATTAAAAATAATTACATATTTGGATGAATTTGTGGATGAAATTATAATATTTAATGTTGGCGACCAATTTATAATGAGGGTTATAGTTTGAGGATAAAATTGAAATATTCAAAAGTTTAAGAACAAATTTAGATGATTATCATAGTTGAGGATGAAATTAGAATATTCAAAAGTTTAGAGACCAATTTAAAATGAGACATAATTTGGGGACATATGATGGAATTAACTCTTATTTTTTCAATTTATCGAATAGCACATAAAGTTGGGATAATTGCAAATAGTAACTAAAGGTATTAAGATGAGTTGTAGCTCAACTAAAATGAGGGCAAAGGCCCAAATATTTTACAACAAAAATACGACGTCATCGCAGTTAAACTCAAAAAGAAAATAAAAAGGCCTCTTAGCAGTGGCCCCAAAACCCATGTCCAGAGGAAACCTAGCAGCAAAACAGGTCCTTCTCTATCCGGCTGCCTTTGACAGCGCCATTGGCTCTCTCGCCTTTTGCTTCAGCCCCTACCTCTCCTCAACATGAAACTCGTCAGGTCAGTTTATCGAGTTTTCATCTTCTTCATTATTATTATGAAAATATTATTCCATTTAATGTTGTTTACGAAGTGAATGTGTAGAAAGAAACTACAATTTTTAGGTTCTTAATAGTGATTAGAAATATCATAAGCAGGTTTTTGATGAAGTTGAACAATGAAACAGTGAGCTCAAGAATGGAACCTTTGTTCACGGTACCATCACAGGTTCCACCTCTTTCCCCTCTCCTATCCCATTTCACTACAGTTGGTGTTTAGCTAAACCCTAAACCTCAGTTTAGCGAAGAGTTGAGAGCTATATTATATACAATTTGCCATAGGCAGTGAAGGTATTGTTTTCTCTGTTTATTTGTTTTTGATGAGTAACGGCAACTATAATCATAATTCTCATCTCAATTGGGCATCTTGTAGCTGGTATTTTGGTTAAACTACTTTCTTTGAAACAGGGGATATGTTAAGGTATTGTGTTTACACATGATATTATCTTTTAAGGTGAATTGCAGTTGGACCTACGATGAGTCCATGGTTCATTAGCTTGTTTTATGGTTTAATCATTATCGTAGTTTCTTGGAATCACACCGAGTTTAGTAATGGACTAGCAATCCATTAGCCACAACCTGTAGGAAGACAGCAGCCAGTGGTGATTTTGGTGTCAGTATGAACACCCATCTGAAAACAGTGAAACTCACGTTGAAGGGGGAAAATCCTGTAGCTTTGGATCACCTTAGTGTGCGGGGTAACAATATTCGCTACTATATCCTGCCTGACAGCTTAAATCTCGAAAAATTGTTGGTTGAAGAGACTCCTAGGGTGAAACCTAAGAAGCCAACAGCTGGTAACGCACTCTACCTGATTTCTCCTATATGCTTGTTTGCTTCTAGTACTGATCTCTCTGATGTGTTTCCAATTTCAGGGAGGCCTTTGGGACATGGTCGGGGTTGTGGCCGTTAAATATGATGCCTTGTATTTTTGAGATGGCTGGATGCCGAGACAGCGTTGTTGTTGGGGCAATTTGTGGGTAATCTTACGAATACTGAAGGAATTGTATCGGTATTTAGATATTGTGTGCGAGTTTTAGTCTGGTTTGGATTGATCATGAAAACGTGAGATTCGTGGCATGTTGATTTGATCAAATGCTAATAACTGAGCCGATAATCTAATTTTGGAATCATTTTCCTTTGCTGCTTTTAAAAAAGAGGAAGAAGGTAGAGAAGCTGGGGGATAAATCATAATAATAAAAAACTTTTAAATATGTCAAGTTTGCAGTTAACTTATGCTACATTTTTTAGTGACGAACGGGCCATGCACAAGAATGTGTTTAACTAGCGAGAAAAAAAAATGTAAATCGTTATTTCCATAGCACGTATTTAAGGGTACTTTTATTCGGATCCTTTAGTTGAAATGAAATAAGGTATATTGGTTTCTTTAATAGAGGACGTTGGTGATAAATCGTAGATAAAGAATGTTGATGATTGAATTATCTGATAACATTGATCAAATCAACATGGACGGGTGAAGATGAGAAGATAAACAAAACGCATTAGAATAAACCAAAGGAAGAAGGAAAAAAAGTGAAGACACAATTTAAAAAAATTGTTTATCATAAATTGCTAATTAAGTTATAAAGACACAATTTAAAAAGAAAAATCTTAAAATTTATTTAAAATGATTATTTATATAATCATTGATTTTAAATGTAAAAAATATTAAATTTAATTTAAAAATAAAAAATTAAACTCGTTTTTACTATTAATATTGCATCAACTATAATTTAAAATAGATGTGAAATCTATCAAATTATAAACCAACTATTTGATTTAGGTGCTCCCAAACTCTTCAATTAGTTTGACTTTGAATCCACTTTTGACATGTGTCATTATCATATTAGATGATTAAATTTACTGAATAAATTAAAATTAAGATTGATAGAATGTACAAGTAATGAAGATTAAATGTGTATTTATATTAATTTTGTTAACTACCACATCAACTCTTCCATTAAATGTTAACGACAAGTGATTTGATTGATATTATTTAAATAATTAAGTTATTTAATTAATAAAACTAAAAGATCTGTAGTCAGATTAGAATCTCATCATAATTTTTGAATAAAATCTCCTTATAATTAAATGATCATGTGTGTAGTTTATCCTATAAATATAAATATGAGTTAATTTAAAATTAAAAAAAGTTAGAGACTAAATTGAATACAAAAAATAGAGAAACTTGACATATTATTTTTATTAAAGTTATATACTGATCAAAAGTGTCACTCGACGTAATGTTATGAGACTTTTTTTTTAAAACAGCGTTATAAAATGAGAAAATGAATATAACGAAATTGAATGTTAGAAATTAAAGATTATAAAAAATAATTTGATGAAACAAATATAGTTTTAAGAAGAAAATGATTGATTAAAATGTACATTTTGCTCTCTTTCAACGTAAGATGAATTGAACCAAAAGAAGAAGAAGAAAACATAAATTGTGAATGTGACATTATATTGGGTTAATAATAGAAGTGTTGGTGGTAGATGTGAATAACCATTATATACTATGGCAATGAATGAAAACACTAACAGTTCAATCCCAACGCCCAGTCTTCGCCACGTAATCAAACCGCATCTCTCCCTGATGTAAAGTAAAACAGCGACTACAGAACCTACGCTCACCTTGTCATGTTTTCGACATCGAACTGTCTGGTAGACCGACCAGTCAAATCTCAATATCTTCATTACAACAACAAATATATAAGAACCCTAGCTACTTTCTGCAAATTTTATCAATCACTACGCTAACAACAAGGTGGGTCATTTCCTTGGCCAACTCAAACAAATCTCTAGAAAAAGTTGTAGACACTAATTTTTTACCGAACTTAAAAAATATTATAAATATTAATTATATTATTATTATTATTATTAATACAAATTACATTATTTATGTACGCCTAAAGTTCAAGCTCAATACAACAAAAGAATTCTCAGAGCCCAATGCAAGTCCAATAAAAATTCAACAGCCCAAAAATAAAACAGTTTAAGCATAAGAGATGTTTCATCTATGTGTATGAGCAGCAACCAATCACGCCAATATCTCAAGCCATCGCCACTGTTGGAGCTAATCTGCACAAAGTCAACAATGCATCGAATCATGGAAAAATTAATTAGCCACCAAAAAATTGCATCAAAGTCAATACTTACTCAACCAAATATCACCAAACGCAGAGAAAATCAACATGCAGACAAAGTATTCGGTGAAGAAAATATTGATAAAAAAAAAGGAACACGAGATAGAGAGGGAGGCCATTCGAAGGAAAAGGAGAGACAGAAAATGGGAGGGACATTCGGTGAGAACCAGAAATTATCAAGGGGAAAAATGTTGTAAAGGGGTATTAAAACTCCAGATGAAAATTGTAAAGGGGGGCTCGGTTTTTAACAGAAAAAGGAAAAGGATTGGAACAACCAGAGGCAAGCAAGAACAGGGGGCTCTCAGTCAGCAAAGAGGAGGAGAGGGTTCGAAGCGAAAATAATCAACAATAGGGGAATCTTCTTTTACTAAAATTCAAAACAGAAAAACGATGTAAAGAGGAAGGTTCTGCTCACAATATTCGAATTAAGCAGTGTAAACCAAGGGTATTCCTCCCTCCTTTTTTATCAACAAAAAGCAGTAGCAAATTCTTTAGGAATTGAGTTTCATTTTTAATTTCCAATGTGTGTGGTCTGTGTGTGGGTGTGTGTGGGTGTTTTCGAAATAAACAAGGGGTTTAGGGTCGATTTACCTGGGGTCTTTTACTAGTCACCGGAGTCAAGAAAGTTCGGGATAGTGGGGGTTGAACGTCGGAAAAGGAAACTGAGGAGTCCAAGGACTCAGAGTTTCAAATCTAGGCTTGCATGTAGATTATAAGTTAGTTTTTGGATCTGATTTTTAAAAAATAAAATAAAATAAAATAAAAAGAATAAGAGTAATAGGGGTCTTGATCTAATTTACCTTGCTATGTGAGTGTTCATAGTCGGAATCGTTGGTTCCAGGTCACCGGGAGTGGAAAGTCCGGGTCTTTGGTCATGTTTGGGTCTCGGTCTTGAGATATGTCGAAGAAGAAGAGTAGAGAGGGAGAAGGAAACGGCTGTGGAGAAAAATGTTAAAAGTAATATGTTTTTAGGGTTTTGTTTTTTATTTGTTTAAGGATTCTGTTTTGTACTGACATAAGACAAAAGGGTAGTGTTTTTTTAATTGCATTACTTATTATGTAAGGGTCCCGCCTGTTTTTTACTTTCCAGACAATTTGGTTTTAATTTGAGATTTTTATAGTGGTTGGTAATGCCTTTATTTTATATTATTATGCTTTAGATCATTATGTTTTTAAGCATGCATTTATGTTCTTGTTAATGTTCATAGGGTTGTAATTACATTAAAATATATATTTAGTATGTTGCGTGTATATGTTTGTTTGTTATATTTAATATTAGATTTTATATCTTATATGTTCTTATTAATGTTCAAAGGCTGAAAGGGTAGCTCGAATACATTTTGATAGACACCAGGTAAGTAAAACACCTACAAGAGTCTGATGTTTTGAAAGAAGCTATTTTTGGCAACATTTGTGTTCTTCTAGACAGAAGCTTACCTCAGTGCTCCAAATTGTATCTTGGTTCAGGAACATTCATGTTGGTGATGTTGAGGCATTTGACTTTATTTTTTTTTATTATGATTGCCATGATTTTGTAAAATTCTAATTTCATCATTTTTAAACCCTAACTGTGTGCATCTTATAAGTATATTAACATAGTTCAAAAGAAAACAAAAGATTTCTTGGTATTACTTTAAACTGGTCTCTTAAAGTGCATGAATCCTAAGTAGCCCAAAACCTTGACACTCGTGTTCATCTGTTAAAGAGTGCATGCCAAGGAATGATCTGGGATGATCTGTGAACTAAATTCATAGCTATTTAATCCCTATCAAAGACGTTTCTCTGAGATATTGGGATTGGAGCAATCTGGGTCTCACCAGTCGAGTCAATTTTGATTGTACAAACAATATGGATGAGTATGAGGCATGTGTTTTGGTTCTTAGAGCTGCTATTAAACTCAGAGTAAAAATGCTTAAAGTATACGGGGATTCAGCTTTGGTAGTTTACCAACTCAGAGGAGGATGAGAAACAAAAGATCCCAAACTCGTGGAATACCATAAATTAGTCCTGAAACTTATTGAAGAATTTGAAGAAGTGACTTTCAATTACCTCCCCAGAAAAGAAAATCAAATGGCAGACGCCTTGGCTACTTTGGTAGCAGCCTTTAAGATGAACGAGAATGCAAATATGATGTCTATTGAGATGAAGGCTTATGAATATCCAACCCACTGCTTTAGCATTGAAGAAAAAGAAGATGGAAGACCTTGTACTATGATATCTTGCAATATATAAGATATCAAAATTACCCCGAACAGGCGACTGAGAATGTTAAAAGGACCATTAGAATAATGGTAGCAGAGTATGTGCTCGATGGTGAGACCCTATATAAGAAAAGCATGGATCATATCTTATTAAGGTGTGTGGACACTAAAGAAGCTGAAATGATTCCTGAAGAAATACATGAAGGAATATGTGACACCCATGCTAATGGGCATGTAATGGCCAGACAGATTATGAGATTTGTGAATTATTGGTCAACTATGGAAACTGATTGCATCAATTATGCCCGAATGTGTCACAAGTGTCAGATTTATGGGGATAGAATGCACAACCCTCCTCCTCCATTGCATGTGATGACAGATCCGTGGTCGTTTTCTATGTGGGGCATGGATGTTATTGGGCAAATTTCGCCGAAGGCATCATATGGACATTGCTACATTCTGGTAGCGATAGATTACTTCACCAAATGGGTAGAAGCAACTTCCTATGCAAGTGTTACCCAGTCAACGGTATGTAAGTTCTTGAAAAAGAAAATCATCTGTAGATATGGCTTACCGGAAAGGATTATCTCTGACAATGCATTGAACTTAAACAACCAGATGATGAACTCTGTCTGTGAGCAATTCAAGATAAAGCATCATAATTCCACTGTTTATCGCCCAAAGATGAATGGAGCAGTGGAGACGGCTAATAAAAACATTAAGAGGCTTATAGAGAAAATGACAGAGACTTATAAAGATTGGCACGGGAAGTTTTCATTTGCTTTGTTTGCCT